GGAGATAATGTTCCTCCGGCACAAGGTGGGCAGAGGGAAGATCGAGATGGATGATCAAAAGGTGTGAGCTATTTTAGACTGGCTACAGCATAAGGACATCCACGAGCTACGCTCCTTGGGGCTAGCTAACTACTACCGGCAGTTTATCTAAGGGTATTCGAAAAAGATTGTCTTTGACTAACCTTCTTAGGAAGGGTGTCAAGTGGGAGTGGATGGTGGACTTTGAGCAGTCCTTCCAAAAGTTGAAGAGAGCAATCACCAGCAAGCCAGTGCGAATCCCTGGCTTCGACAAGCCCTTTTGGTGCAGACTGATGCATCAAACTATGCGATCGGTGGGGTAATGATGCAAAATGGCCACTTGTGGCCTTTGAGAGTCGAAAATTAAACAAGACTGCAGTACTCAATCCATGAGAAAGAAATGAACGTAGTGGTGCATTGCCTTAGGGTGTGCGGTGTGGCGACACTACCAGCTAGGAAGTAAATTTATAGTGCGCACATACAATGTGGCCACGAGTTGCTTTACCACACAGAAGAAGTTGACCCCCAAGCAAGCTCGGTGGCAAGAATTCCTGGCGGAGTTTGACTTTACCCTGGAATATAAACCAGGGAAGGCCAATGTAGTGGCCGAAGCGGCAAGTCGAAAGACAGCATCTGGTGGTGGTTGCGACCATCACTCAAGTAGAGGGGGGACCTCTTGGCCGCATTTGTGAGGACGTCGAGAGGGACCCATGACCCAGAAGTTGATGCAAGTCTAGGAGGGACGAACTAGACAATTTTGGCTACAGGGTGGCACCCTTTCTGTCAAAGGCAGGCGCATCTATGTGCCTAGCATTGGTGGCCTTAAGAAGGAGCTATTGAGGGAATGCCATGACGCCGTAGCGGCTGGCCACCCAGGCCAAGAGAGGACCTTGGCCCTACTATCTCATGGCTTATATTGGCCTAATATGGAGCAAGAGGTCAAACACTATGTGAAGACCTACCTGATAAACCAGCAAGCCAAGACCAACCGGCAGAGGCCAGCTGGTCTTCTCAAGCCCCTCCCCATCCCTGAAGGTCTATAGGCAAGCCTGTCCATAGGGAGGACCGATTTTCAAAGTGTGGCACCTTCATCACAGCCCCTGACCACTGCAGTGCAGAGATTACAGTACAATTGTTCTTCACCCATATGGTGAAATGGTGGGTGACCCAGAGGCATTGTTGGAAAAACCAGCCGATCTAACCGGTAACCGCCCGGTTAGATTGGAACCGGCCACTAGCCGGTTCTGATTTTGGGCGGTTTCCGGGATCAACTGGTATTAAAAAAGAAAAAAAAAAAAAACTTCAAAAAAATGTATATAAAGTACCAAAAATAAAGAATTTGGTTTGTAAGATATTTTTTAAAATTCTTTACATTATGGTAAAGATTACAAATTGTTTTGATCATTAATACTCGCTTTTATATTTTCCCATCTTTTTCATAAAATTGTAAAAATACATCCTTAGACACATATTATTTCTTTAAAATCCATTTTTTTCATTAATTTTCAACTTCATTTGAATGTGTTTTGTTTTAATCATTCTCTATATGTTTTTCATATTTTAGTAGATTTTTTTTACATCTTTTTTATTTGTTTCAACACTTTTTTCACCACACAGGACTTGCCCTGTTAGAATGGTTGAATCAGTCGGTTTACCAGTTAGGACGATTAAACCGCTTCCAAGCCCATGTCCAGTTAACCGTTCTGGGATTTTGCAAATACTGCCCTGGAGGACATTGTGAGCGACTGTGATGCTCGCTTCACAGGAAGGTTTTGACAACAGTTGCTTGAATTAATGAGGACTAAGTTAAACTTTTCCAGACGGATGGTCAAATTGAGAGGGTGACTACAATCTTGGAAGAATACCTCTGCCACTATGTAACGCCCAACCAGCATAACTAGGCCAGCCTACTCGACTTGGCTTAGTTTTGCTACAACTTGCATCAAAGTCGTTCTACAAGGAAGAGTGCTTTCGAACTAGCCACAGGCCAGCAGCCCTTGATGCCCCATGATGTGGCCTTGCAGCAAGGCCAATCCTAGTGCCCTGCAACACTGCGATTGGCTAAGGAGCCGCCGAACAGTTGGAAGAACCTCGTGAGAGCCTTGACCGGGTAGTAAAGCGCATGAAGAAGTATACCGATGCAAGACGGAGGCCGCTTGAGTTCCATGTTGGGGACTCGGCGATGTTGAAGCTCACTTCCCAGATCTGGAAGAAGATCAGTGCCAAGACGACACAGAGTGGCTTGATCCAGCGGTACAATGGACCCTTCGAGGTGATCCGCCTGATAGTGAAGTTGGCCTACCAACTGGCATTTCTTGACCAAATTTAAGGCTCATTCGATGTTCCACATAGGCTTTTTGAAGCCATACCACAAGGATGAAGACCTAAGTGGGGTCCAGGCTGTTCGAGCTCCATCAAAAGTGAGGACTTAGGACTTAGTTCGAAAACAAGGTGGAGGCTATAGTAGCCTAACGGGTGTTGGGCCAAAGTAAGAAGAACAAGAGGGTGGAATTCTTAGTCAAATTGAAGGGCATGCCTGAAGAGAAAGCCAATTGGGAGAAGGACACCACACTCTAGGCTAGACCCCTGACGAGGGCATTGGGAACTGTTGGTGGGGAAGGCTTGTTAGGACCCCTGCTAGTTGTGTGCGTGTTGGTTAAGGATGAGGCTTGCAAACCTCCCTCGATGTACTACCCAACCGGCTTGAGGCCTCACCTGGCCTCCAGCTAGCCTTAACCATGGGCCAGCAAGCCTCAGGCACCAGCCTGGTGCACGGGCAAGCCCAGGCACAAATAACTCGCAATTATGCGACCTAGACGTTGGGAACGTCCACTGTACTTGATTGAACCAACAAGAAGTCCTCATTCTAGTCCTGCATTCATGGTAAGAAACCATAATGAAGAAAAAAGAGGTAAAGCCAGGATGGTAATCAACTATCAAAGGCTTAACCAAAACATTGAGTTTGATGGATATTTTATACCCAGAAAAGATGTATTAATACATCAAACCAAAGGAGCAAAATATTTCAGCAAATTTGACTGCAAGTCGGGATTCTGGCAAATCTTGCTAACAAAAGAATCCAGACCGCTAACTACTATCAGTGCTCCATACAGCCCTTACCAATGGAAAGTAATGCCATTCGGACTCTACAATGCACTGCAGATATTCTAGAGAAGGATGGATGGTATTTTTTCAGATTTAAAAGATTTTTGTGCTGTATACATAGATGACATTTTCGTGTTTTCTAAAACCATAGAGGAACACCAAAATCATCTCAAAATCATTTCCAAAAAATTTCTTGAGCATGGAATTATTTTAAATCCCAAGAAAATGGAAATTGAGAAAACCTCAATCGAATTCCTAGGCATCGTCTTAGATTCAAAGTTGTTTAGGAATACACCTCTTGTTGAGGGAATAGTGGAAGCCTTGGGTCAACTGGCAGTTAGCAGTGGAACAAGCCTGTGCGTAATAGCATAGTGTGCAGGCGCATGAGCCTGCACCATAGCTTGGCACAAATCAATTGTGGGCTATCTATGGGTTTTAAGGCCCTAGGCTAAGCAAGAGCCAGGTTTCAAATTCAAACGAACCAAGAGGTTGGTGACGTGGGCGTAACGGCTAATAAATGGGCGTAACAGCGAAGTCATGGGCCACAGAAATAAAGGCGACAGTTATGGTGCAGAAGCATGATGGCCCATTAAGAGGCATCACCTCAGGTCGTGGCCTGAGGGAGGCGGCCTCATGCGTAACCGTTCAGGACCAGGGGAGCCTGGCTGCTTGCCAACTGCCCACAACCAAGCCTTGGCCTGTGGCTGGCCACCACGTGTACGAATTTGATTTTGCAAAAAGTTGTAAAGAGGGGTTATATAAACCCCTAGCTCAGACCCTTGAGAAGGCATCTATGGAAGTATACATTGTAAGTGTACAACTTAATAAAGTGGGCCACAGCCTCTCTTGTTGGTGTGAGTTGTGTGTGTGCATAAGTCCCTTTATTCGGTTTGTGTGGATAGGCTGAACTTAACCCATAGCAGCTTGGCTAGGTGTTAAGGCTGCACATTGCTAAATTCAAGATTAGGCCTTGTGACACTAGCCTTCACATGGTTTATAAGGTAGAAAGAGGGGTAGACAAACCTCCTAGGGTTATGAGGTGAGAGAAGAAAGAAAGAGAAAAGAAGGGAGGTGCATGAGTTTGAGATGCCTAGGTTTCTTCCAAGCTACTTGTTCAAAGATTCAAGGAGAGAGGAAGAGGGCATGTAACGTACAACTTCATGATCGTTACCGTAACCAAAACAGAGATTTATGTCGTCTTCTTTCAGAGTTTTGGCAAGAGAAAAACAGAGAAGGTGAGGATTTTGTATGAGAGTTGGATGTGGTGTTGAGTGTTCCTCTAATCAGATCAGTGTGAGAGATCCAAAGGGGAAAAAAGTCCTCCAACCTAGAACACTTTACCTGCAACTTTTCACCCCAAACCAATTGAAAAGAAGGGCACTTACACTCTAGACGGTGAGCAATCAATCTAGGAGACTACATGGGGTGTACGAAGTCCAAGATAGTGATTCTAGGCAAATTCTGCTTTGTTGTTTTTTTGTAGATTTGACTGTTTTTGGAGCACCATCTTAAGGCCATTGCTGCAATGTTTCCCAGTGCAAAATCAAGCCTCCTTACATATTTAACAACAATGATTGTTTCCGAGTACTTGCGAGGAGGATAGAGACCTTTTGTGATCTGATGTGATAGGAAATGACATGCTTATAATGACACCAACACTAAGCCTCACTTTGACAACAGAAGTCAATTTCAATATCTAAACAACCACAAAAAGGACAACATTACACACACAACTTCATTAACAAAATATACATATATACAACTATTTAATAAAGTCATTCATAAAGGAGCGTGCACTTGCAGGGCCCACTTGCGAAATAACATAGATTATGACACTATGTTTTTTTCAATAGTAGAATAGGATACAACATTTTTACCTTTGAGGCTTCCACTTTCAAGATCTATAGACACAATCGTTGTACTTGGATTTAAGCTACTTTCCCGATGATCTGCCAACAATTTACTAAAGTTAGCATCAAGTATAAAGTACAATAGAATCAATAGTACAAATTGGAGGCATGTTATTGTCAAGATTCAGATCTAAAATAACCAACCTTCTCTTACAGTAATGAACCGGTTGAAATGTTTATCGACCACTCCATCTGCATAACATACCACATGTCCACCATATTCAGGGGAAATGGGAACTGGGGAGCCACCTGGAATTAACATCATAGAATGAGATCTAGTAACATATTCCGTATAATTTATAACACAAATTTCTTACATGTAGCATGAAACTCCACAAGAAAATGTTGACTTCAACATATTTGGTAAATCCATGTATTCTATATGAAGAATTATTCAAAATTTATGGATTTGGATCGAGAATCGCAGATCCGGATTCAGAATTGGTACGAACATACCCAATTCCCAGTCATAAGCAGGAATTAGTTTGATTTTGAAATACTTGCCTAGTTCTGTCAAAGAAAGGGGCAAGTCTCTCAGGGAACCTAGCAATCCAAATCAGCCAAATCACTTGGCTCTCTCCTGTTATTATTTTTCAATTTTAATTTTTTTAAAATTAAAATCATTATTTTATATTTTTGGACCCATTACACATCATAGAATTGGTCCAATCACCGATATAGATCACTAGTTTGTCGATCCCGGCCAATCCAATTTTTGAAACACTGATATGAACTAACTGAGACGAGACCTAATTATAGCATAAGTGGCTTAGCTTCGTTCGAACCCAAGAATTTGAGGATGCAGCAAGTGTTTTTCAGTTTAGCCATGAATTTGAACCCAAGATGAGACAGCTACAAATTTAGATGCATCAAAGCTATCAGCATCAAAGCCTTTTCCCATCTACTTTGGTTCGGCCACACGAATCTTAGTCTGTCATTCTACTCTATCAAGGGAGCAAATAACGTATATTCAGGATTTATGGAAAGTTTTGGCAAAGTTTACGTTGGCTGCCTACCTAACACAAATCACCTCCTTTACCGGGGCTTGGGAAAGGGTAAGGAGGGAAAGTTTGAGGTCCTAGCCCTTAGACCATTTAGAAGGATCAGAGTAAAAAGCGAAAATGATATTGTAGATTTGAATATCCTGTATCTCATAGAAATTAGGGGCCATAAGGTAGTTCGATCACTTCACTCATTATGGATGGAATCCATCTCCTGTTGGTCTCGCCCGGTTCGGGGTTGGCCACTCCTTGTTTCAATGATGACAAGAGAGAATCGTAAAAGCCGACGCCACCGCCCTGGACCCTAGAAGCACCAGGTCGCAAGGCCTTGAGGATTGCTCTCCCCAGCAATAGCAAGCTCCATCATGATTTCCTGACCGGGTGTGAGCGGGTAACGTACTTCCAGGCCCTAATGTTTTTAATCGACAGCCTATCTGATCCACCATCAAACTCCCATCCCCAAGCAGCTCATTCTGATTGCGACCCCACGGCTAGAGCATTAACCGAAATAAATGAAACAGCTAACTACTTTGCATTTTGTGATTAATTATGAAGAGGTCCGATAAGGAAAATCAATATCAAGTATCGCAACCAAGGCTCGCCAACTCAAGCGAGTCGATTTGAACTTGACAATGTGTCGACTACTCAGCAATGTATCATGCCCATAAGCAGCTCCTATACTAAATATGAAGGGGGGAAGAAATCCAGCCTCCTTTGTTTTAGATTTCTCACCCTATACACCAATTTTAATCCAAATTTCGGCCCTATATTCTTTTTTCCATGATCAATATATTATACAGATCAGATTTGAGAAAAAAGCATCAAAAGTTAGAAGTTGAAAATTTCAACCTAGATTTTACCCAATTTCAGACAGTTGTCATTTCTTCATAATGGTCAATCTTTGATGAAATTCATTCTCTAAGCCCATTTTTCGATTCTTTACCCAATCATAGGCTTGCTCCACACACATACATACGCACAGATACACGAACATATCGGATACAACAGATTTGTATTTCAAATTTACAAGCTCGGATCAACAACATCTGATCCTCAATCCTAAATCTTGTTGGGGGTTTCGATTTCAAGTGATTGAGATGGATTTGACAAGGATTGGGGGCATTGGTTTGCACAACGCAAAGACTGGAGGCTCAACTTCAAAATTTAGGTTTCAATTTGAATTTAAATTCATATAATTGTTCTATTTTTAACAAGTTCAATTCAAATTCATATATCTCCCATGTTTTATATGCTTTTATAGTTTTAAAATTATTTTATGTTCTTCCAATTTTCTAATTTGTTATATTTTTCAAGAATTTTAGGAATCTTTTTGGGCTTCTTGGGCTACTTGGGGTAAACTCATACAAATTGACTCAAACATACCCGAGTCGCTCGGACCAACGAAGGGCCAAACTTTACCCTGAACCGATTTTTTGAACACTAATCTAGACTATAGGACATACTTGTTAACAGCCATGTTGCTAAATTCGCTTTAAAGACCTCTTCATTTGAGAAGAGGAGCACACCAGCCAATTTAAGGGAAGATTTTGGGTATTCTCTAAGTAATCACCACAAATAAACTAAAAATACATCTAACTAGGTATTTAAAAATTCCGTTTTTCTAAAATATCCTAGATAATCTTAAAACCATCGCAGATAAATATCTAATGAGGTTTGCTTCACATTGGTTCAAAGCCCGATAATGAGGGCATTAGATTATTTACCAAAGTGAAGCAAATGTAGTACATTGGCCCTGGCATGAGGTAACATCATCTTACGAGTATCATCCAATAAAAAATAATAAGCTAAGGATCTAATGCACATCAGTTGAAATTAAAGTAGAGAAGAAAATAGTTTGGTAGGATCCAGAGAAAGAGAGAAAAAAATAAAGATGATGACGAAGAAGGGAGAGATAGAGAGAGAGGGAAAGTCGGTGACTATAACATTAAGTAATAACCCCAATTACAACTTATGGTTAGAGACATAAGATAAATAAGGACTAAACAAAAGATAATGACAGTTCTGTCCACACTAACCACAGTACCCAATTTATGCATGTCCACACAACATCGAGGAAGGGTTTACATGATGCATGCATAAATTGGCTAACCACACTAACCGCATAAGAAATGTCTGGTCGAATGATTGTGAAATATATAAGCATGCCCATTATTCATTAATATTGATTTGGATATTCGAGTGGCTCTCCCCTTTCTCCATGTAGTTTATGATTGACTTCTATAAGAGTATTTGTAGGTCTAGATCCCAACATCTTGTAACAAGTCCAACACATACATTCTCTGGGAGATGACTATCCCTTTCTTTGATCTCGCCACTTCAATTCCCAAAAAATACTTAAGGGGTCCTAAATCTTTGATATCAAAGACCTTGTTTATATAAGATTTAAGATCCTCAATGTCCTTGAATTTATCCCCAATTACAATAATATCATCAACATACACAATAAGGGAGTAATTCCAGCAATACCCTTCTTCACAAAGAGCGTATGATCAGCTTCACTCCTTTTGAACCCAAATTTCAGCAAAGACTCATTGAATTTTTTAAACCATGCACTAGGAGATGTTTAAGTTCATATATTGCCTTATTTAACATGCAAACAATGTTTTAAAATGCGGGATGCGGCCGTATGCATTGGGGGGGCCAATGCGGCGATGCAGCTCGATGCAATCCGAATAGGGGTGCATCGCCACGATGCGGTCAATAAATATAAAAAAATTCTAAAAAATCTAAAAAAATATATTAATACATAGAAAAATATGAAGGCGATCTATGTGATAGCAGGTATTTAGTTTATTCATTAACCCCAAAAGTATTAGCTTTCAGAGATTCGGTATCCACTATCCCCTGATAGAAACTAGAAACTTGAAACTAGCTTCCTAAAACATTCAACAATCAACAACCAACAACCATAAGCACAAATTTGCAACCACAAACTTTAAAGTTACAAAATACTACAAACTAAACATCTATGTAGATTAAAAAGTTCAAAAGTCAAGCTCAAGAAGAGTCAATACAATCATCATCATTTCTCAGGTCTGGAGAATGAGACTCTAAATTTCAGTTTTTCAAATCCTAAACACTTGAATTGTTGTCACAAGTTCGCCTAAACTTCCTCAAATTAACAGGTACAAATTAACAACCAAGCATCAACCAATACACAAATCGAAGAACTTAACAAAATAAAATTTTCGCCAATTTTTTATTTTTTTATTCAATCGATCTAATAAAAGCAACGGATGTGGCTGAAAAATGATGTTTGGAGGTTTAATTCCTCCCCAAACCCTTTCTCCCTATTTTCGGGGGTCAAAATGATCTTATTACCCCTGCACGAGAAGTTTTGAAAAAAATAGCAAACAACATATGCAATATGATGCAGTCGATGCAAGACGCAGCAGGCGCCATCTCTCCAAATTGCATAAGCGGTCATGTGCAATGTGCCGAGCAGCGCATAAAGCTTGATGCGACCGCACAGCCGCATTTTAAATTGCAAACCCTTCCTGTCTCCCCCTTAATCTGAAAACCAAGAGGAATGGCCATCTAGATTTCTTCTCAAATTTCTCCACGTAAGAGTGCATTCATAAAATCTAGCTGATAGAGTCGCCACGATTTATTCGCAGCTAGTGAAAGAATGATCCCGACAGTGTTCAATTTGGCCACAGGCGCAAAAGTTTCTTGGTAGCCTATACCAGGAGTCTGGGTGAAACCTTTGGCAGTCAATGGTACCTTCAGCTTTGTATTTTATAAAGAATATCCATCCACATCCTACGACCTTCTTCCCTTCAACAAGGTTAGTGATTTTCCATGTATTATTCCGATCAAGTGCTCGTATATTGTCAGCCATGGCAGCTTTCAATTGAGGTTGTGAAAGTGCTTCTACAACACTGGAAGGCATTCTAACAGAACACAGAGCAAATATGACGGCACGATGAGAGGGAGACACAGAATTATAGGGTATGAGGTTTCCTATAGGATGTTGAGTGCAGGAATATGTACCCTTGCGAATAACAATTGGTAAGTCCAAATTAACATTCTCTGAGAGGGCGAAAGAGTTACTTGGATCAGGAACAATTTATGATTTTGGATTAGCATTCGAGGTATGGTTGCTTAGAACTTTGGGTTGCACCATTGCCTTCACCCGCTATACATCTTCAACTCCTTCTCTAAATATGCACTATTCCTTTCAGATAAACCACCCTCTTCAAATAAAATGGGTCCCACCACATTTTAAACAAAAATTTCAAAACACCCCTATTTAGGAAATAACATAGATAAACTTTATGGTTTTGTTATCATTTATAAAATAATTTAAAATTGTACAAAATATCCAAAAATCACAACATAAACAAAGTTAAAAACAATATTTATGAATTATTAAAAATTTAAAATACACAGAAATACTACTAGAAGTGAACTATTACCAGTAGGTCAAAAATAAGTGATTGTCAAGGCACTCCACTTGTGTCAGGATCCGTAATCCGCAACTATCTTCTCAAGACAACTCAACATGAGCCATGACCCACAATCATGTGCAGAAGCTCTTGATTGGCCGATCAACACTGGCCAACAAATAGTAGAACCACAGCCTTACTACGTGGATTACTTTCCCCATAAGAGCAAGTCACAGGCACATATCACTATATTGCAAGGGGAAACTCTCTCGACATACATGTACATCCCTTTATAGTGTTGCTTCTCATAATGCAGTTGTCATATGTACATGTCGTGCAGAACTTTGTTGAGGATTTGGCCCTTACTCTCACAAGCTTACATCCGCATACAAGAGACCAAAAAGCTCTCTTGGGCTTATAATAATACCCCTGAGCATCTCTTCTACCTTTAAAAGGGATGAACCTCCATAAAACTCTCAAAGGTAGTACCTATGACTAAGGGAAAAGGTTTTGTACATGACTAGGCCCACAGACTGCCAAATCCTAGGTCAATCAACCATCATATAGCCCCACTAAAGTGCATACTTACATGCTCTCACAGACTTTAAAGGCCACAAATCCCTACACGCGGAAAATCCTAGAGAGAACTTCTCAAGGGTTTCTAGAGTCCAAGTTTCCATTGAAAGAGACAACTATATGTTCAAAAGAAAAACAGAGGAAAACATGTTCGAGATTAAAGAGAGTGAAATAACATTTTATTTCCTACCAATTTAATTTATTTACAAAAGGGGCCTAAATCCTGTCAAATATTCCCTCAAAAGGAACGACATCCAAATCCTCTTTTTATATAGGAGAGGAGGGGAATACATGACCTAATTCTTTGATGAGGGACTAAAAAATCACATACAAAAGAAACAACACAAACAAAGCAAATAAACCAAAAGAAACATAACGAAACTTGACCTAAACATACCTAAATCAAACCTATATCTAATGTAGATTTGAGAATGAACATTACTGCAGGTGCCCCCCAGCCCAATGTTAGCAATATGACCTTTCAAGGCCTTAATGCCAAGAGTCTCTTGCTCAGTGGGAGTGAGTGAGAGATAGAATCTGGGTACTTTGCGAACTGGGGCCCAGGTTCTAATACCCCAAGTGCGTATGAGGTATTGAGAGTTTACACTTTGAGAGAGTGATATCTTTAGGAGGTGTGAGGTTCAGCTCCGAGTCAAGAAAATATAGGTTAGAATGCCTCATAATTGATGTGATTAGCCAGGGCTTGGAGTTACCAATCGAGTGTAAAAGAACCCGAGTGTCTTGTGATGAGAGCTGACCCTGTATGGAATGATCAAGACTTAAGGGACATGAGTCCATATCCTAACACGAGACCATTCCATAGCATGTACAGATACATTCGCAAGGGAAGCCACTATTCCATATGTATTTTCCATCATTGGAAGAGACCCCTGTAATAGAATAGTAATATGTCCCACAGGGATACACCTATAAGCCATTGAGAAGTCAGATAGTGGGAAGCTCTGACTCAATGACTTTGATGTAACCAATTATGTGTCTCTGCCATAGACTATGGAGCATAAGTCCATTGGGTCAACTTGAGACACCGATAGAACATCATTCGAGACTAGCCCAATAGAATACTCATGTTACTAAGTCAAAGCCTTAAGATCTCACATATACCTTTATTCTGATTTAATTATGATGAGAAATGATGTAAACATGTTTCAAATATTTATTAGGATTTTTGGAGATTTTTTCTGGATTTTTTAAAGCACAAAAATGTGTCTTTCAAAATTGTTTGCCCTTAATTCCAAATGAGGACATCCATGCGGATGCCACGTGGCACCCGAGTGGCCATAGGGTGGCCACGTGGCACCTTGGGTCCCTCACATTGGGCCCCCTTCTATTTTGGGCACGAGCCCCTTTTTTACACTTAATTATTTAATTTGATTTCCAAACCTTATGTTATATGGTTATAATTTAAGGTTGCATTTTAATCACATGGGTTATTGTCACACATGTGACATACTTGGCTTGTGTGAAGCCAAGGGAATTTTTTAAATAAAAACTATTGTAAAAATCAATATGCACATAGGTTACATTCCATGGGATATTTTATGAGGATGCACCTCATTGGTGTGACCCATGTGAAGGTGTAGAGTGTATGTAAAAGGTGTAGGTTGGGTTGACCTTATTGGTGGTGTCATAACCCTCATTTTCACCTTTCCCATGCCATGATGCCATTTACTATTTTGCCCTTTACCCTTGAACATTCTCAGCATTCTTGAATTAAAGAAATGTTGAGGGCATTTTTGTAAGTACACTTGAACATGTTTAGAATAAAAGTATAGGGCTAAGGACAAAAAGGTAAATGTGGCTTTGACCTAAGGTTTTAGTAGGTGATAATGGTGGCAAATCTTGTCCCTTCATCTTGGCGGTGGATGGGGATGAGAAGCATCAAGGGTTGAGATCTAATCTTACTCAAACACTTCATATAAATACAATCTTTTGGTCCAACATAACCCCATATTTGAAAAACAAATTTCACAAGAAAATGGAATCTAGAGAGAGAGCAAGAACTCCCATGAGCTCCATGTACCAGCCATTGTAGAACTTGTTCCATTGAACATATTTAGAGTTTTAAGGTGGTCATTATTATATGAGATCAGGTTCATCTTAAGCAATCATCAAGGTAACCCTCCATTGAGTTTTTCTCTATTGTTCTTCATCCTCTTTTACTTCAAAGCTTGCTGTAAATTCTTACTTACAGTAGCTTTGTAAACCTTTTACCCCTTGGTTCATGTGATCTTTATGATTGCCTTTTATAGGGTAGTCAACCATTTGACTACAAGCTTCATACCTTGATGTTCCTTTGAATGAGCATAGTTTACCCTTGATTTTCTCTACACGATTTTTTTGGTGTGTTTCTTATACTTAAACTTCAAATTCCCGAGATCTATTACCTCTTTGAATTATTCAAAGTCCACACTTTTGCATGCAATCCTGTTTTGGTGGTCTGGTGGACTATACTACATAGTTTTGCTCTATCTTGCTCAATTTTGATCGGATCTTCCTAGTTCTTTTTGCAAACTATTGTGGGTTGATTTTGTTATCGATTGTGGACCATAAGAAGGGGTTTAAAGGTGTTTAAGCTTCCCATTTTGGATAGATACCCTTGTGTCATATAAACTACTCATGCACTCATCTTTGGAACAAGATTAAGTCCTCAGAAGCCCCGATCATGGGTCGGGTACAAGGGATTCGAACCATTGGCTTCCCGAGTACTTTTGGCACTCTAATACCTCCGTTTTATAGTTATTATTCTCTGTTGTAACTGTTGGGGCAGTTTTGGTTCATGTAATTTGATTATGTGAAGGTGTATTTCCATTGTATGTAACTAATGGTTTCAATTTTGAGTTGGTGTGAGTGGTATGTAATTTGCCCCATAAGGGGACTGTTTTAGAGTTGATTTTCGGTTCAATTTAAGTGTTCCTAGACTTTGTACCACATCACCCAACCCCTTAAGAGTGTGCTGAAAGTCAATGATGATTGATGACTACGAAGAATATCTACACATGGAAGTCCCCAAAATTTAAATGTTAAATTTACTAATATCAAAGAGATTATATTTTCTACTCTATATAAGAGACTAGTAGGAAGCTTGGCTTATCTAGCTATAAATCATAGTGACATGGCCCTCGCAGTCCTTGTCATCAGCCAGTTTGTACAGAATCCATGCATATGGTGTTCGAAAAGATAATTCAATATACAAAAAGGAACATTGTACAGCTCCAGCCTCTTGTCCACATCTTTTGAGTATAAAATGGGATTTTGTAAAAGGCAGTGGCCTCAACAACCTAGGTGCTGCTTCAAGGCAAGGTGGAAAAAATCCCACCACCTAGGGCAACCGAGGTCCATATATATATGTGTGAGTGTGTGTTATCTCAACTGCCGCAAACTCGAGATGGTCCACCTGGCATGGATGTGGCCTCACATATTTTAAAACATTACAAGGTACGAGGTCCACTTAGTGATACATATATTAAAAATAAAAAGCGAGAGAGAGAGAGAGAGCAGTACAAGATAGGTAGCAAGTTTCTCAGTAGTACAATGACATAAACCTTGCATATCGGATAAGAAGTTTACCACCATCAATAGATTGCATGTACAGCCGCTGATCATTGTAATGCGAAAATATCACAACATTCTCATAAACTGTGAATGCACCACCTCCATATTCTTGTGCTAATGTCCGCACGGAAAACTCTGGAAGTGTGATATCACTAGGCACATCAGTTGGTTCAATAGGACCTTTAACAAGAACCATCCGCCTGCACACCTCATTGCATAATAACGAGATATAAGCAGCTTATATTTAATTATGCTGAAATATAAGCACAATGTATCAATAATAAAAACATACAAGAATAAAAGTCACCACAACTAATTAAACCATGCCTCATGAAGATTTCAATAGTAGACACATGTATATTGCACACCAACAACGTAAAGTTGTAGAAGTCGATGCACATTTAGAAGGTACCAGTAATGAATGGGTTATAACATGCAAATCGACTGAAAGCAATATAAAATATATATGTAAAGCTAATGAAACCCAAAACCCTCGAGGATATTTCTCACTCATCCGTGATATCAATCCATGTAAAAAATATAATTTCATTTCTGTGCTAGCATCCATCAGCTATAGATGAACCAGAATCAAAGAAGCATCAAATAAATGGGGCACCAATAGAAAGATTGTACACAATTTGCAAGCCATGTTAGCAGCTAAAAAATTGGAGTCTGTTCTTCAACAAAACTGATTTTATGATGTCCCAACTCTAGGAGGGATCATCTAGCTCATCCATCCACCCTTGAGGCCCCTTACCTCAACCATAATGAAGTAGCCAAGAGATGGAGTCCATAAGACTCACCAAGAACCAACAATCGAACTGCAAAAGAAAAGAGATCTCTAGAGGAAGAGATTCCACTTTTAACCTGCACTACAAACTAGCAAATATGACACAAAGGAAGTGTAGGAACCTAGACATCTTAAATGCATTAAAATTGAAAATCAGAGGGTGTTGGTGAAGGATGACGAGGTCAATGAAAGGTGGAGAGTTTATTTTCAGAAATTGTCAAATGATGATCACTCTAGGAATTCAACGTTAGAAGGGACAACTGACATAAATGAGGCCAGAGGTCATAGATACGTTTGTAGGATTAGGATATCTAGAGTTAAAGAAGCTTTAAAAAACGTGAAGAAAAGAAAGACTCTACGACCTGATGGTATACCAATTGAGGTTTGGAAGTGCATAGGAGAGATTAGCATATTTTAACTTCCCAAGTTGTTCAACAAGATTTTGATAACAAAGAAAATAGCAGATAATATAGGAAAAGTACTATGGTACCATTTACAAGAACAAAAAAAACATAAGAGTTGTATAACTATCAAGGGATCAGACTTACGAGCCACGCTACGAAACTGTGGAGAGGATGATTGAGCAACAACTAATATGAAATAAGTGTATCAGAAAATCAGTTGAAATATGTCAGGAATGTCAACCATTGAGTCAATTATTCTATTTAGTAGGCAATTAATTGAGAAGTTTAGAAAGAAGTGAAAAGACCTCAACACATAATTTTTATTGATTTTAAGAAAGCAAACAATAAGGTACCTAGATAGATAATTTGGCGGGTGCTGGAGAAAGGAGTCTTAAGAGGATACAATGACAATGATAGGGATATATCCAAGGGAGAGCAAACTAATCTGATGACAACTAGTGGAGAATAAGTGACAGTAGGCTTACATCAAGGTTAACATTGAGCCCATCTCTTTCTTTTGGTTATAGACGCATTAACTAGGCATCTACAGGATGCAATACACTAGTGTATGTTGTTTGCAGATGGCAGTTTTGCTTGATGAGACTAGAGATGGCATAAATGCAAAGTTAGAACTTTAGAAGGATACTTCAGAATCTACAGGTTTTAAAATTAGCCAAAGTAAGACAAAATATATGGAATGCAAGTTTAGCATTAATAGGAGCAGAAACAATGCATTAGTTAAATTGATGGACAAGAAGCACCTAAAAAATGTTATTCTCGATATATTGAGTCGATAATCCATGAGAAAAGAGAGATTGAAGAAGATGTTGCTCATAGAATTAGAGCTGGGTGGGGGTGGATGAAGTGGAGATGCACTTCTGGAGTCTTATGCGATCATCGCAGACCAATGAAACCATAAGGCAAGTTATATAGGATGGTTGTCAGACCAGCCATGCTTTATGAGAAAGAATGTTGGTCGGTCAAAAAACAACATTATCCATATAATGAGTTTAGCTGAGATGAGGATGTTGAGATGGATCAATGGCAAGACAATGAAGGATAGAATTCATAATGAATACATGAAAGAAAACTTATGGGAAGCTTTAATAGGCGATCAAATGAGAAGTAAATTTAGGTTGTTAAGTCATGTGCAACGTCGACCTAGAACAGCTCTCAGTTATGAGGGGCATTTAGGTTCAAGTTAAAGATTCTTAAAGGGCAAGAGGAAGGCCCCCAAGGATATGGATGAAAGTAGTGAGAAAAGATATAGTGACTTATGATCTGACTGAAGGTATGGCCCTTGATAGAGCGGAATTGCGGAATAAGATTCCTGTAGCCAATCCCAAATAGTTGGGACAACGCTTGGATGATGATGATGACGAACATCCATAAACCTACTATAGGATACCAATTGCAAGAGGATTTGAGCAACAAAGTACTGATAAATGAGGGAAATCTAAAACAATATGCCATAAAATTTTAAAAAAGTTTACACCTATTTAGATCCATATGATAGGAGATCATTCAAAAGCAACAAGTGCAGTGCTTAGTCCACATGCATAATGACTCCAAGCACCAAGAGCCTCCCACCTTGTGCAGATTATGGATGTATCCATAAGCAAAGAGACATTGAGATGATAGCAAGAAGCCGATGAATGCCAAATGCCTCCCAACCAATCGAGAGACAGTCAACCAAAAGGTCGGAGTTGGGTATCTCCTCCAATGTTTCATGAGTCTCCATCAAGTATGTGAAAGGACAATAAATTAACAGTAGAGAACACACTATCAATAACCCACTCATTAGAATTAGCAAGCTATAATCCTAACCCTGGTGGAAAAAATGGAAGAGTCAACTCTTTGTGCGTTAGATAATAGGAAGAATAACTGGGGAGGAAGATACATGTATCAACACTACACTATCAATAGACAAAACCATCTAAGAGTGGTTCTTGTATGCCGATCCTTGAAAATTCCCCTAGGTTAAATGACTTATTACTGCCATGCAGCAACCACTAATTTGGTCACAAGCCCCTAAATGGTGAAGAAGACCAACCATTCTAGACTCTGGCTAGGACAAATAAGAACAAGACAACCCGCCCAATCTCTAGGATGCAAGCCTGTCATTCTGATGTGAAAGGAAGGTGGGAAATTCAATGCACCCTACTAATAATACACTAACAAGAGAAGATCAGCAACAAATAAGAGAGAAGAATAGCTGTAAATCAAGCCAAAGGGAAGAAGAAGCACTTTCTTAGTTCATAAAAGTATTCTTCACAAAATAAATATCAACTCCAAGTCTCTAAGGGAGAACATTCCTCCTTTAGATACAAAAAAAATGAACTTCCAAAAACAATCTCTTTTCTCTCTCTCTAACCCTCCTTCCATTCATGTGATTACCACCAAGAACATCCTATAGTGATCATCTTCACCTCACGCAATTGCTGGGGTTATGTGGTCATTTAAAGGCCTTACGAGAGCATATGCTGAATTATTTATAGTGAAATATTTGCTCCAATGGGAGTGTGGTCCAGTTTGGACTGTGAGGCATCACTGATGCCATGACTCACCAAAGGTTCGACGGGCTATGGCTCAGATTGATGTCTAAAACTCGTAGCCCTAAGCATTTGTGCACAAGCGGTAAAGGTTTCGATGTGAGGTTATCCCTTGATAAGGTCAGAGGTGTGCCCAAGGTGGTTGGTCAGGGTCTGGGTGTGACCCATGTATGTGATGGTTGGCTGGAGATGACAAGGACTGAAATCCTCATCATTGCCATCGTACAGCATGTACACTATATAACAGTCCAGGAAGCAACCCTCTGGATGAGGGTGTGTTGTGTACATGAATACTGCTAGAATGGGGCCTGGACTTGTCCTAAGGGAGGGACTTGTAATCCATGGACAAAGAACGTGTCTCCATTTATTGGCTAACTGTGAGAGTCTAATCATGAACCCCTATGAAAGGTTGTGGGTCATGGGAACTATAAGGTCAGTTTGAAGAGATGTGGTTCCTAGAAAGGATGGAGTCCTCAATATATTTATTGTATTCCTAACTCTTTGGATCCAAATTCCCATCAAATCTTCTTAAATTTGTTTGATTATATTTTAATTATATTTTAGATAATTAAAATGCATTTTTAGACCTCTCTGGATATTTTATTTTATTGAAAAAAGGATTATTATTTTTTGAGAATTAAATTTATCTAATTGAAAAAAGGATTTTAAAATAAGAAAAAATCAATTTTCTGAATTTATTCTATTCAGAGAGAACTAACTAGTTATTGGTTTTATAAAATTCCTATCATTATTCTAAAATATTGTTTAAGGTGTGGAGGCCCATTGGACTTTTGGGCCTACCACATATGTGCCCACAATTGGGGGTGTGGGGCCCACAAGGCTTCCCATGAGTGCCCCACTTCTAGTCTCTTTCCTATTTTGTGTGGCTTGTGTTGTAAGACACCTACTTGTTTTGGAAAATAAGGAAAAGTGAAATGGAGTGGATTTGATTGATTACAATTAAATGTAGAGATTGATTGAAATTAGACTTGCAAAAACATAGTATTTTCTCTACACAATCAATTGATGAGAATAGAGCTGTGGAAACTGAAGGATAATAGTTTCACCTCATTCCTTTCAATCATGATGGCTGATCTAAAGAATAAAGGGCTAATATCTCTTCATCCCACAAGTCTCCATGGTCAAATGTCAAGATTGAGTCTCATAATGATGGCAAAACCCTAAACCCCAAAACCCTAGCCTCCATTCTATAAATGCTCCCTATGGGGGGACCTATTCTCCACACCTTGTTTTGGATTGGTCTATCTCTAAGCCCTAAAGGCAGGTACACCCTCTCTCTCTCTCT